ACAAAAAAAAAAACTATAAATAAAGTATTTTAATGTTTTTTCCCCTTTTTCTAAAATCAAATACTTATCCCGCACAAAAAAAAAAAAGGGCTTTTTTACAAAATGCCTAACTTAACAAAAACCGCTTTTTTTTTTCCCCCCCCCCCCCCCCCACAAGACACCTCAATATTTAATCTTTTCTTACTCACATATGTAATGATCATCATCTGGCACCTCAGCCTCACAGTAAGAGTGTCGTTTTCCTCGAGTGGCGTATTGCTCGCGCTTTTCCTTAGAAGGCTGTTCATTTTTATTGTTAGATTTTGTTCTTTCTCTCCTAGTAATTGCAGTATTCTCATCTGGCAAAAGTCCAATATTCTCTCCCAGTCGACCCAACTCATCAAATGCGCTCGAGTCATTTTCTTCCTGCCAAAACAAGAACACATGGGCATTCTAGTTTGTTATTATTTTATTTTATGGAAACGATTTGCATCACGTGACCTAGATATTTGACACTGACTTCCATGGGGTTTGCGCTTTAAAAAGTCGCGTGACAAGAATTTTTATTCACACCGCAACGCTCGAGAGTGACTAGCTATACACAGTCGCTGCTGTGTATGCTGAATTAAGAATATTTCGCTCTTAATGTTTAATTTCAAATTTCCCCACCACCTTACTTCCGGTGTTTTGCTCTTTGGCTAAAGGGACATAGATGTGACAACTAGCCTCCTTATCTAAGTCCTTATCTTTTGCTTCGATTGACACAAAACTTTCCAATGTTACTCTTACTCTACATTATCGTTAGTTTGCAGAGTTTTCCATATCGAAATGTCAACTTACGGGCAAAAAGAAATTTTGATAAATTAACTGACATTTTTTAATGTATTATGTTGTTTCATTCACATTGATGTATTAGTAATACTCTCTTTTTTATAAAGGTCCAGTGCATTAAGTCTACCTCTTATGGAAGCATTCACATGTTAACTACCTTCGTGTTTGGATCCTTCGGGTTTTTAATCGTAGGCACAATCTGAGGCTTGGGTCTAAACTCTGGAAAAAATCAAAACAGCCATTTTCTAATGAGGGAAAATCTCGACCAAATTTAACTCATTGTTGACAGTTTTCGTCAGAAAGATTGTTTTGTTACCAGGAATGAATCTTTTGATCATTTTGTTCCTTTTTCTAACTTCTTCTGATCCTGGAACCCAATCTTCATCGCTATCTTCGCTACTCTCATTTGTGCTTTCACTGTCTGCGATGGTGGTCTCTGTCTTAGGCTTCTTTACAGGTATTTTACGAGTACGAGAAGGAAGGCCAGCTGGTACGGCTGGAACAGGAAGACCTAAAAGAGAGAAATACCAATATAGTACACTGTGTGTAAACGCCCTCTTCCCAACGAGGCCCCTCCTCTCAAAAGAAATGTGGGAGCGAGTTTGAGTTTTAGCTCTCTTGGTTTTCCACTCTCGGGCTAAGAGAAAGGAGAAATAACGAAATCGCCTCGAAATGGGGTATATACGCTTAACTTATTTAAAGGTAAGGGCCCAAACAGCAAAGTGATACACCATGGAAGTAACATAAGGTATTTTTTATTGCGATTATATTGATTTTTTGTTTCTAAAGCATATCGTAAATATTCCTAAACAAACTCTTATATTTTGGCCATGAACGCTCTTTCGCAACATTATCTCTACTGAATAGATCACAGCTGAGGGACGCCTCTGATATTTCTAAGGAAAGGTTTAACTTTCGACGATAATTTGCAAAACTTAATTGAAGCCACGACGTTTCTACATTCGCCACTGCAACGTTTAAAGCCAATAGCCACTTGAAAGGACTTTCTATATGGAGGTATTTTAAATCTTAATTCTTGATAAAAGCTTAAGCTTACTTATGAGAGAACAAAGAAATGTACAAGGAAAAATGCAAACTTACCAAGGCTTTTCAAGAATTCATGGTTCCTCTTGATATTTCTAAGCCTCAAAAGTTCGTACTCCGATAAAGAGTTCTCCATCTTCAACAAAAGTAATAGGTGAGCAGTAACGGCGAAAATAACAACAGTATATTAAAACTGAAAAGTCTGTTTTCATTATCCGATTTAGCCAACTGACAACTCACCTCTTACAAAGTAGTTATTCTGTCCTTTTCCAAACTTTAAAAATGACCAAACGCACCCGATAATTTTAACTCTTGCTTCGTTTCTCTCCTTGAATTTGTTTTGAGGGGAAAACAATTTTTTGATCTAAAAACTCTTCCAAAGTAGCAGAAAGCACGAAGAGCAAAAAATATTTTTTTCCTTTTTCTTTTTGACGTTTCCCCAACAACGTCATCATCTTCAAAGAATCTGATTGGTCAAAAACTGTAGCATAGAAAGGAAAAGGCGGGAAAGCAAAACGCAGGTTGCCGCGGACATTTTAGTTCTTCATAGGGTGGAGTGGGCCAATTTTGGAAATACAGAACGNTTCCACTCTCGGGCTAAGAGAAAGGAGAAATAACGAAATCGCCTCGAAATGGGGTATATACGCTTAACTTATTTAAAGGTAAGGGCCCAAACAGCAAAGTGATACACCATGGAAGTAACATAAGGTATTTTTTATTGCGATTATATTGATTTTTTGTTTCTAAAGCATATCGTAAATATTCCTAAACAAACTCTTATATTTTGGCCATGAACGCTCTTTCGCAACATTATCTCTACTGAATAGATCACAGCTGAGGGACGCCTCTGATATTTCTAAGGAAAGGTTTAACTTTCGACGATAATTTGCAAAACTTAATTGAAGCCACGACGTTTCTACATTCGCCACTGCAACGTTTAAAGCCAATAGCCACTTGAAAGGACTTTCTATATGGAGGTATTTTAAATCTTAATTCTTGATAAAAGCTTAAGCTTACTTATGAGAGAACAAAGAAATGTACAAGGAAAAATGCAAACTTACCAAGGCTTTTCAAGAATTCATGGTTCCTCTTGATATTTCTAAGCCTCAAAAGTTCGTACTCCGATAAAGAGTTCTCCATCTTCAACAAAAGTAATAGGTGAGCAGTAACGGCGAAAATAACAACAGTATATTAAAACTGAAAAGTCTGTTTTCATTATCCGATTTAGCCAACTGACAACTCACCTCTTACAAAGTAGTTATTCTGTCCTTTTCCAAACTTTAAAAATGACCAAACGCACCCGATAATTTTAACTCTTGCTTCGTTTCTCTCCTTGAATTTGTTTTGAGGGGAAAACAATTTTTTGATCTAAAAACTCTTCCAAAGTAGCAGAAAGCACGAAGAGCAAAAAATATTTTTTTCCTTTTTCTTTTTGACGTTTCCCCAACAACGTCATCATCTTCAAAGAATCTGATTGGTCAAAAACTGTAGCATAGAAAGGAAAAGGCGGGAAAGCAAAACGCAGGTTGCCGCGGACATTTTAGTTCTTCATAGGGTGGAGTGGGCCAATTTTGGAAATACAGAACGTTTCTATTCTGAGTAAATTTATAAATGTCGTGAGATGGAGAATGTTTATTTATTTCGAATTCTCTTTTTATTTGAACTTTATACTAGTCCAAGCAGTTTTAATACGAGTAGTAGTTATATCGTGTAGACTAGAGTCACCTTATTTAGACAGGAATCCATTGTGAATGTTTTCTTTTTAATAGTTGATTGTAGTTATTGTTTCAACTTTCTTATTTTTCCAAAAAATCCCAGTGATACAGTATTTTTGCTGCCAGACATACCTCCACCTCCACTCCCTACGTCACTATGGCTACCGTCAGGGGTGGACACAGTGTGTAGTTGCACCTTCCCGTAACATCCCCCATAAAACACCTCTCTCCATCATATATCCAAGATGGCGGACAAAACGGTGGATGACATCTTGTCCCTCCTTTGCAGTCATACTAAGTTAGAAAGAGACAAGGGACTACAAGCTTTAGAAGAAAAGTTAAAGGACACTTCAAATTTTTCCTCTGATTCTCAAAGAGTGACCGATTTCCAAAATTCGCTGGCTTCATTGGTTGAATCAACCGATCGCGGCTGGGAAGCAAAGTATGGAGGATTGATCGGATCCAAGGTTCTTATACTAAAAAATCTTGGGTCTGATGACTTTACCGAGGCCCTTCGAAAACAAGCTTTACGTTTAATGCACGATGACGAAGCTCGAGTAAGGATTGCTTCAGGTGAAACATTATTTTCTGTAGATCGTAGACTTCACAAGGACACTGCATAATTTGTTCTCTTGTTCGCTGTCAATTTTGCTGCAATTTGATTGCCAGCAAAAGAGCAATGAAACATCATTCTAAGATTTGTAATAATATAAAAAATGATGATCAGTTGTAAAATTATTCATCCTCTAATTTTAATCCAGAATACCACATCTTTAAAGTTTGAAAAAATTAATTCTGTTGTTTGTGACAGTGCCATAGTAAAATGTGGAGTGAAAACTCCCTCTCCAGGGTAATCATTTTGCTTGTCTTGCAATCAGTGGGAAACTTAAGGTAACAAGAATCATATTGTTAACATCTCTTCTTTTCCAATTATGAGAACAAAATGTCAGCAAATATTTTAGAAAAAAAAAAATCAGTGGTTGAATTTTTTTTTTACTATTTTAAAGCTTCTTTTTTAAATTTACAGGTGAAATGCTTGGTGCCCTTTGTACAAGGAAAGGACCGGACATTTATGTAGCTTGCCAGGAAGAAATTTTGAAAAGCGTCAGTGATAATCTCGAAAGAAAGTTGCCTGACTCTGAGGAGGTGACTGGAGGACTGATGCATAAGTTGACTGGTGGAGAACATGATACATCACAAGAAACTGTAAGAATTCAAAGGCTTAAGATGTTAGTGATAGATTTGTCATCAGTTACTCTCTCTCCCTCTATATATGTATATGTTGTCTCAGTAGTTAATTTTTTATTTCAGTTAATTTTTATTTTTCCATTGTTATGTTTTTGGGCATGGTAATGTATGCTAATGAATTTAAAACAAAAGAAAAACAAAAATTAACTGGAATAAAAAAATAACTGCAACATATATATATATATGTAGATATTAGTTTACTTTTCTCTTCAGGCATGGGCAAGAGAGTCACTTTTTAAGGGATTGCCTAGAATAAAGCCATGATTGCCTTACCGGTATAATAGATTCTCAGATTTCTTTTGTATGCTTGGTATTTGAGTAAGAATTATAATAAAATTATATTATCAATGTTTAGATGGAGAGGGGGGTATGGGCTTTGGTGTGGAATTTGAACACCTCCTTTGTCTGGGGATTTTGATTACAAATTTTGCCCCAAACTGTGGTTTTGGTAACCCCACAAAGGTATATTTTATCAAATTTTTCCAGTCCCAAGAGTTGGAAAGTTCACCAAAAAATACAAACATTGATACCTGCATAACCCCATGTAAACTTACAAATGGCACATGGGATTTTGTGTTTTGGAGATGCTTACCGTAACCCATCTTTCCATAATTCAGCAAGAATTAATTTACTAATTCATCCAATGACCTGTTTCTAAACTGTAATTATGTATGTCATTAATACTTTCATTATCTATAGCACAAGAGAGCTGACGCAGCTCAGATTTTCCACGATACGGCAGGCTGGAAGCACCTTGAGACAAGTATGAGGTAAATTGTATTCAGAAACATTGTAGGCATATAAATACAGGTATCCCTAAAACTACCGTTTATCAACCATTTCCTGTCTTGTCCGTAAATTTTAGCTTAGTAGGTAAGGGACCATTCATGGCTAGTAAGGCATAGAATATGTGGCAGAGGAGCACTTATCTTGGGGACAGGGGGTAGTGGAGCGAGGGAAATGGCTTCAGCCTTGCTGTGAAATTTAGGAGCTAAGTTCTCTGAAACGTCATCCCCTCATTTTAAGACCTATTTTACATAAATCAGCCATTGCTATCTTTGGACAACAACATTTTAATTCCAATAATTTTACTTATTTTAATTATACTTTTAAGTATACACTTCCATATATTCATTCATTACCTTGATCTGATCAGATCACAACTTGCGTATTTTTTAAAACAACTTATTCAAGTTTACTTAACCTTCAAGGGGTTGTAGATTGTAAGTAGTGTTGCCTCAGATGGTAAATTTTATCGGTTACCACCTGATGAGGATAACACTGCATGTTCTTTGACTCTCAATAACTGCAATTCAAAGTAGACAGACTGCAAATTATCTTAGTTGCTAAAAAATATATATCTACATGTCGCCACTGTTCATCAGTAGGATGCCTAAAATGCGTGCAATTCCACAGTTGGTTTCGGCTCCGTTAAATCCTATACCAATTGCAGAACATTTTAGGAGGAGCCACCCACCATGTGAGCACAGTCACGGACAATGTATAAGTGAGGAAAATAATGCAAAGTAAAATTAAGACGTTAATAAATGAACTAAATGTACATGTCAATTAAATAAATAAACAAATAATGCGCACGCTTGAAATAAAATTGTACGCGCACACGTACCGAGATACAACTGAAATACAACACTATGCAATAAATAAGTAATGTAAGGACATGATGGCGCAATTCAAGCCTGGATTGCTAATCTCATCTCCCTCAGGGCTGCACCATACTTCTCGACGATAAGACCATGGCGACTGAAGAATTTATTAAATGATTTCTGCAGTAGATTGGTTTCTGAGTCGTAATGAGTGTCCACGGAGTCTATTGATGAAGTCAACTTTGGACGTGCAAATTCTAGCATATCTCACCAGTTGAGATATATAAACACCGTAAGTTGGATTGGCGGGAATGTTGCTGTCCATATGAGGAAAGTTGACAATCCGAAATGCAAAGTCCTCTCTCTTATCGTAGATGCTGATACAGAAAGGTGTGTTGTCGCCAGTCTTGATATTAGTGTCGAGATAACACACTTCAGTAGATGATGTGGAAGAGTCCTTAAGTTCCAATTCCGATGGGTAAATTGCGCTGATGTAATTTCCAAAGTCCACATTGTTACCACTGACTTGTCACTAAGATACTTTTAATGCTCAAATTAGCACCCATGACACCTGTGTCAAAAGACAGTTATTTGAAGAAAGTAATAATTCATTCTTCAGAGTTTTAGCCTGGAGGTGGCACTTGTCTTTGTCTTAAATGAACAAAAACTGGCACTTAAGGCACTCTATGCTCTTCACTGATTTTGTTTTGCAGATGTCTACAATCCGTTATAGAGGGATGCGGCAAAGCCTTTAATGAACACATCACTCAGAATCTACTAGACCTGATATTTCAGGCCCTAAATCACACAAATAGATTTGTAAGAGAAACTGGCTACCAGCTTTGTGGATCTTTGGTGCGGCTGGGAAGACTAGAAGGTACTAATAATCCTTTTTTTGTTTTTTTCATTTTGTTCTGTTTTTACCAGCAATTATTCTTGCTCTCAAAATCAATTCATACAGTTGAATAATATGCAAAAACCGTTGGGAAGCCTATCCAGTTACAGGCAGAATGGTGTCATTAGGAAGGTGATTCAAACAGGGTTTTGTCAATGTGGCTATTACATTGTACAATAAAGCAGTCTTTATATGAGTGTTGGTTAACAGAGCATCAACTGTACATAATGCACATGTACAGTGTATTCTGTTTAAGGAGTGGAACTATTAGCTTTATATATAAAATAAAGTACACAGATAAGAATTTGTAACTGTGGTACTCTTACATTATACTTGCCTTTTTTCTAGAGATAAGACTCAAAATTAAACTAAAAATTTATATGAAAAACAGTTTAACAGTAACTACACTGTACAGTGTATTTCTCAAAAAGGCTTTATTTCAATGTTCTCAGGTGGTCAAGGTATTGCAAGTTTAGACTATTTGGCTTAACGATTTACCTGTATTATTCAACATCACTCAGTAGAGTACAAATGACGCTAAAAATGAGTACAAATACCACACAGTATTTGTACTCCAGAAGACTGGTTTGACACATTATAAGCTCAAGATACAACACAGATGATGAAACTGAAGTTGTGTGATAGCGACGGTTGTAGCGACAACAATCCTTGAAATAAACAAGTCAAACAACGTTTATTAAATCTGAAATCCCAACCAAGAAAATGAACAATCTTCACCTCTAGTTCTTTTAAAATGTGCGGAAACTTGACATGGTACTGTAGACTCTGCACGTTCTCTTTTTGTTAGTATAATGGGTAAAGATGAGGTTTCAAGTCCATTGTTCACACGTAGCTCTTTCAAACTTCTTGATATTTTGTCATTCCATCGCAGTTTTCATACTGTACAGTTTTTCTACTTGCAGTCCATTTTACGTAACAGAAAGACCATCATAAGCCTCACAATTAATTCCATCTCTGTTTTCCATGCAAATGTTTGAAAGAGAGAACCTCAAAGTGCCAAAAAAACTTGAAAAAATTTAATTCGCTGAGTAAACTAGTTTGACAAGTTTCCATTTCTGACTAATCAGCAGCAGTGTTGCTGAAAGCGTGCAAAAAGTGGACTCATGTCGGTGTGTCATGCATTCTAGTTATGTAAGCGAGCACATTTATACTCACCCTACTCAGTGGCGGATCCAGGGGAGGGGCCTAGGGGGCCTGGGCCCCCCTTATTTTTGGACCAAATTGAGGCCCGAAGGGCTGGAAATTTTGGGGGTAGACCGGGCCTTCTTACCGCCCTCCCCCTTATCTCAAGGTCTGGATCCAGTACTACTTCTGGCTCGCCAAAATACAGCATGACTCATAAAAATATCATACGATACTGCACAAAAAACTGTCCAACAAGATATATATATCCTGACAGTTCACTCTGCAAAACAAAAGGGAGTCAGTAATATTACTGGAGTATTTATTTTATAATGTCAACTAGATTAGCCCTGTGGCCTGAACTTAATCTTCTTGGTCTCAGTCAATTTCAGGGTGTTCAATAGACGTCAGAGATCAGAGAATTCTCCGTTAACTTTCCAGAATTCTTCAACTAATGTTCGGTAGCTTATGACTATTTTTTATCCAGACGTGGAGCCTCTTTCAAAATATTCTCGTGTAAAGTTACACCTTTCTTCTGCTACTAGGATTCTTAATGAAAACCCTGCAATCTACGAAAATTCCATTTTTCTTATTATATTTTATTATTTTCAGACAAATTGTCAGGAGCTACCCTGTCACCATCAGTGAATGTGGAAAATAATGCTATCCTAAAGCACGGGG